GAATGACCATCTAATTTGGCTTTTTATTATCCTGTCTTAACATCCCATAAACGGATAGAACAATCTTCACTACCAGATGCTAATGTCGTCCCATCAGGAGAGTAACAAATTGAATGAACTGCAGAAGAATGACAATCTAATTTGGCTTTTTATTATCCTGTCTTAACATCCCATAAACGGATAGAGTTATCCCAACTACCAGATGCCAATGTAGTGCCATCAGGAGAGAAACAGACCGACATAACATAATCTGAATGACCATCTAATTAATTTAACTCATGTATTTAGATATTTTGCCATTTACAATTAAACAATTAAGCTTAATTCAAGTCCATTCCACTTATGTCCACATTATCAAATTCTGATCCATTGAGATTGCACCTTGCAAAATTTCCCCCAACCAAAGAAGTATTTCTAATCTTTATATTCTCAAAGTTTTCTTCCCCCAAATCCACTTTCATTTCAACTAAAAAATTGAATGCATTCGATCCACATTAAACAAATCTCTAGTCAATGGCTGTCAGACGAACAAGAAATTTCAAAAATTCAATTATGTACTAATCATAAGAGATTTATTTTATTAAGTCCTTTCTAAGTTAATCATAGTTCTCAGTTGAATAATTCTTCTTATTAAATTCTATTTCGCCAACATTTGAAATCATAGAAGTTATAAATTAAAACTGGGTTTAATTTTTAAAGAACTCTAAACAATTAGTAATCTTCTTATTTTTCAACATCTAAAGTAGCTCATTAAGGTAGGATCTATCAAAATACTTAGTCTACGTCAATACCTAATACATATCTTCCTTTCTGTTATAAACTTATTTTATTTCTTTTCGTTATTGAATGTTTTCTGATGAATTATCAGTCTTTTTAATTAATTAGTTAATCCCCTTCATATCTTTATTCAATTTTTCACAAAAGGCATTAGTTTCTAAGTACCAATAATCTATTGTCATTTCTAACTTTTCCAACTAAGAGTTTTTCTAAATATTCCAATCATCTAATTGTTTTCCTATAATAATTTAGACTAACTTTTCTATTTCAGTATTGGCCAATTCTACAGGATTCACATTGTTGTTCATATAATTTAAATAAGATTTATCTTCCATCTCAATCAAATCATATATCTAATTAATTGATTCTGTCATTTCATCCCAAATTTCTTTTAATATATTAAGAGTTGAAGAAAGCATTTATTTAAAAAGCAATCTTTATTTGGAGATTTCTTTTGAAGTATCAACTTTTGATTCTTAGAATTTCTTTCTCATCATTTCTTGAAATTTTTTTATTGAAACTATATATTAAAAATCCACTCCATGTTCATCTTGGCATTCGGCACACAATTTCCTTTATCCTAAACACTGATGAGGAGCTAAGCATACCATTTATACTTGATTTCGAATATGATATCTGCAATTCATATTCCTTTAAAATAATATTGAATTTCTATTACTTTATATTGAGTTTTATAATACAAAGCAATAAAGATTTTGTGAAGGGATCTCAAAATTACTGGGTTGGTAGTATAACTTTTTTTTAGTATTTGTAATTTTTTCGATAGAAAAAATTCTTTTAGAGAGAGAGTGAGAGAGAGTAAGCAATTTAAATTTAAATTTGAGATTTTTAGTAAATTAGAGAAAAAAAACATCTAAGACCTTGACGAGAAGGCAACGAGTCCCGGTCCCTACAGGAAGACCTTCTGGGTGGAAGCCCGACTGTTTTGCTT